TAAATTCTGCACTCTAGTCCTATCCCTTTAGCCCATAGCCCTTTAGCTCAAACCTTTTAGTGCAAAGCTCTAGCTCTTCAGAAATTTAGGGCTAGCCCTTTGGGCCTAAGCCCTAGTTCTGTACCCTAAGTCCTTTAGTCCTACCCCTTGCCCTTTAGTCCTACCCATTTAGCTCTAAGCCTTAGCCCTTCAGCCCTGGTCGTTTGGCTGTAGCCCTGTAGCCCTAMGAACATTAGTCCTTTTCCATTAGCTGTAGGTCCCTAAGTTCTTGCATTTTATTGCTAGCCCTTTAGCCTTAAGCCATAGCCCTAGCTGTTTAATCCTAGACCTTTAACACAAGCCCTTAAACCTAGTCCTTTAAGCCTAAGCCCTCGCCCAAGCACTTTAGCCATAAGCATTATCGCTTTAGCCCTAAGCCCTTTAAATGTAGCGCTAAACACTTCACTGCTAAGCACTTTAGTCCCAAGCTCTATCCCTTTAACCCCTAGCTCTAAAACTTTATTCCTAGTCCTTTAGCCCTTACACCTTTAGACCTAGCTCTTTAGTGTTGTAGCCCTTTATTCTTAGTCCTTGGGGCTAAGCTTTAGACTTTTAGGTGTAGAATTTTCTGCCTAAGCCATACTACGCCTTGCATTTTGGCCTGACTCATTTACCTCTAAGCCAAAGCCCTTAGCCCTAGACCTTTATCCCTGGTTCTTTGCCGTAGCCTTTTAGCGCTAAGCACTTCAGCGCTTTAGTCCTAGTCCTTTAGCCCTAACTCCTCGCTATAGTGCTTTACACCTAAGCATTAGTTTTTGAGCCCTAAGCCCTAAGCCTTCTAGCCCTAGCCCTTTGGCCCTAGCCCTTTAGACCTTAGCTCTACTTCTTTACTGAAGGCTCTTTAGCCCTGCCTTGACCCTTTGGCCATAGCCCTATAGCCCTAAGCACTTTAGCCCTAAGCTGTTTGACACTAAACCCCTCAAACACCAGCTATATAGCTGTAGCCTTATAATCCTTTACTGCTAGATTTTAACCCTAGCCATTTAGTCCTACGTTCTTTAGCCCTAATGCTTTGGACCTCAGAACTAGCATTTTTGCCTTAAGCCATAAGATCTATAGGCCTAAGCCCTATAGCTTTAGTCCTCTAGCCTTAACTTTTTAAGGCTAAACCCTTTAGGCCTAAGCCCTTTACCCCTTAAACTTGACCCTTTTGGTCCCAAGCCCTTTAACCCYAGCCTTTAAATTCTAAGGTGTTTAAGCCTAAGCCCTTCGGCCCTAGCCCTGTAGCCCTGACCCCTAGCCTTTCCACCCTAGCACTAAGCTCCTTTGCCTTAGGTGCTTTAGCGCTAGGCACTTGCACTATATTCCTGGCCCTTTGGCCCTAAGTTGTAGCCCTAGCCATTTCACCCTATCCCTTTAACATTAGACCTTTCATCCTAGCCCTTTAAACCTAGATGTTTCCCTTTTAAGCCCTTTAGTCCTAGCTCTTTAGCTCTGAGCACTAGCCGTTTATCCCAAAGCCTTTTAGCAGTAGCCATTTAGCCCTAGCCCTTGAGGTGTTTAGCTCTAAGTCCTTTAGATGTAGTGCTAAGCCCTTTAGTCCAAAGCCCTTGAGCCAAAAGCCTTTAGGCTCTAAGCACTAGAAATGCAGTTTCTAGTTGTAAACAAACCTCTAGCTGTAGCTCTTTGGCTCTAAGACATAGTTGTCTACCCTAAGCCCTTTAGCCCTCARCTGTGTCCTTGTAGCCCTGTGCTGGACCCTCTCAAGTAGCTCCACATCCCTCTTGTCSTGGGGAGCCCACAACTGGACACAGTCTCCAGATCTGGCCTCACCAGGGCTCAGTAGACGTGGCCGATCACCTCTCACGACCTGCTGGAGATGCTCTTCTTAATGCRCCCCAGGATCCCGTTGGCCTTTTTGGCCACCAGGGCACACTGCTGCCTCATGGTCAACTTGTCCACCCAGGTCCCAGAAGGACACCCAGGTCCTTCTCTCCAGAAGAGAGCTGCTCTCCAGAAGGTCAGTCCCCAGCCTGTACTGGTATCTGGGGTAATTCCTCCCCAAGTGCAGGACCTTACACKTGCCTTYACTGAATTTCATAAGGTTTCTCACCACCCAGTTGTCCAGTCTGTCCAGGTCCCTCTGGATGRTGGTGCAGCCCTCTAGAGTATCAGCTACTCCTCCCAGTTTCATATCATCAGCTCCCTTACTGAGGGAGCGCTCYGTGCCTTCATCCAGGTCATTGATGAATAAATTGGACAGGAATGGACTCAGGACTGACCCCTGAGGGACATCCCTAACTACAGGCCTCCAACTGGACTCTGCATCGCTGATCACCACCCTCTGAGCTCTGCCATACAGCCTGTTCTCAATCCATCTCACCATCCCCTCATCTATTCCAYACCTCTGGATGTTGTGAGGGACGGTGTCAAAAGCCTTGCAGATAGATGACATCCACTGCTCTCCCCTTATCTATTCAGCTACTCATTCCATCATAAAAGGCTGTTAGGAGAGTCAAGCATGATCTTGTCTTGGTAAATCCATGCTGACTTCTCCTGAGCACTTTCTCGTTCTCTACCTACTYGAAGACAACAGCCAGGATGAGCTGTTCCATCATTTTTTCCAGGGATGGAGGTGAAGRTGACTGACCTGTAGCTGCATGGGCCCTCCTTCTTGCCCTTTTTGAAGACTGGCATCACATTGGCTTTCTTCCAGTCCTCAGGCACCTCCTCTGATCTCCAGGACCTTATGAAGGTGATGGTAAGTGGCTTAGCTAAAATATCTGCCAGCGCATGCAGCACTCTGGGGAGCATCCCATCAGGAACCACGGATGTGTGTGTTTCGAGGTTCCTTAATGGTTCTCTAACCCGATCTTCCTCTACCCAGAGCAAATCTTCCTCTCTCTAAGCTTCTTCCCTTTTTCCAAGAACAGCATGGTAATCCATTGTTTTCCTTGCATGTCCGAAGATGCTGAAGTCTTCTAGGCCTGCAGTTGCACTCCAAATATTTCCTCTAGGGCACAATTCAAGGCCCTCCCTAAAAAGTGAGCATGAAATGTAAAAAGAAGCCTCAGCTATCAGCTAAAATCTTTCCTTATGTCACTAAGTGCCAACCGTACCTTAATGTCTCAGGCTTGGGAGAAAGGGGCTTCATAAGAGCACCTAAGCATGCRGGAATCTTCAAGCACTCTCTGAGAGGGCTTAGGGGCATGGGACACAGAGGAAGGAGAAGGTGTTGCAGTGAAAATGTGACTGGCTGAGAGGAGAGTCAGGCTGGGGGAAGATGTAATTGTTGCTCTGTGCATTGTGCCATGATTTCTGATTAGATGAGGAACATGACGTAAAACCGCAGGACCCGGGGGGCCCGCTGCGCACGGAGGCCTGGGGAGGGCGCACATAAACCCAGAGGGCCCGGGGGGCCAGCTGTGCACGGAGGCCCGGGGAGGGCACACGTAAACCTGGAGGGCCCGGGGGGCCAGCAGTGCATGGAGGCCCGGGGAGGGAGCACTGAAGGACAGACTACCCACGCTTGGACTAATTGGAAGTAAATCGTGAGCATCGATAACGCTTGATTGGAAGATCGTAAATCGTGAGGACCGATAATGCTTAATTGGAAGATCGTAAATCGTGAGCATGGATAACGCGCATCAAGGACGCTTCTAAATCATTCACCCAAACTTGGACAGATAAGAAAAATCACACTTGAGTAGTTTTGCAGGAACTTCATAAGGGATACCCCCACACTTGGACAGTTTGGAAAAGTGTTCAAAGAGAAAGATAAGAAGATCAGCCAATCCCGAAAAGACAAAACAGCATGGGGGGGAGCAGTTAATGATCTTGTGTCTTTACTTCAAAATGTATAAAAACCTCTGGCGCAGATGCCTCGGGGTCCCTGGCAAGACTCCCTTCTAGGGTGAGCCTTGGACCCCAGCTAGCTGGTAATAAAATATCTCGCTTAGTCGGGTCTCTCTCTCTGCCTTTGTCCA